GCACGCACAGGCTGGCACCTGGCCACGTTCTCGCGTCGGCCGGGGTCGAGCCTCTACACCCTGACCACTACGTCTCCTCCTGTCCCTTCGTCTGGTCAGGTAGCTGCGTCAGGTCAGGTGTTTGCTGCTGCGTCCCGGTCTGGCCCACAGTCTGCCCCCTGTTCGTGTCGCCTCCTGTCTCACGAGACCCTCCTGTGGCACCACCGTCTGGGCCACCCCTCCTTACCCCGTCTTCGGAGCATGGCTTCCCGTGTCCTTGTCTCTGGTCTTCCCCAGTCTCTCCCTCCCCTTCCTTCGGGGCCAGGACCTTCCTGTGTCCCCTGTGTCGAGGGGCGCCTTCGGGCTGCTCCTCACTCCTCCCAGTTCCCCCCGGCAGAGGCTCCTCTGCAGACACTTCACATGGACGTGTGGGGCCCAGCCCCCGTCCGTGGGCGGGGTCACGAACGCTACTTCCTGTTGGTTGTTGACGACTACTCGCGTTACACCACAGTCCTCCCCTTGCGCAGCATGGGTGCTGTCACTGAGGTGCTGATCGACTGGATCCGCGAGGCTTGTCTCCAGCTCAGGAGGAGCTTCGGCTCGGACTTTCCTGTTCTGCGTCTGCACTCGGACAGAGGCGGGGAGTTCTCCTCTCGCCTTCTGCGAGACTACTCTCGTGCACGGGGGATCCGCCAGACCTTCACGCTTCCGGACTCTCCACAGCAAAATGGGATTGCTGAGCGCCGCATTGGCATGGTCATGGATGTCGCTCGTACGTCCATGATGCATGCGGCTGCCCCCCATTTTCTGTGGCCGTTTGCGGTTCGGTACGCGGCGCATCAGCTCAACCTTCACCCCAGGGTCTCTCGGCCTGCGATGTCCCCAGTCTTGCTGTGGACGGGGAAGGTTGGCGATGCGTCTGCGTTCCGTGTCTGGGGATCTCGGGCGTTTGTCCGCGACTTGTCTGCGGACAAGCTGTCCCCTCGTGCTGCTCCCTGTGTCTTCCTTGGCTTCCCCCCTGACGCTCCAGGGTGGCAGTTCTACCACCCCTCCTCTCGTCGTGTTCTGTCCTCCCAGGACGTCACGTTCGACGAGTCAGTCCCCTTCTACCGCCTCTTCCCTTACCGCACTCCTTCCCTTCCCCCGCCACCGGACTTCCTTGTGCCGGTTCCCCCCCCGGTAGACACCCTCCCCCCTCAAGTTCCTGCCCCCTCAGGTGTGTCCCAGGTAGACGCAGTTGACCCGGTCGAGGTTACTGGTGACTCTGGTGCTGCTGCGGGTGCTGAGCCTGGGGGTGCTGACTCTGGGGGTGCTGTGTGCGGGGGTGCCGAGCCTGGGGGTACTACTGCGGAGGGTGCTGGGCCTGGGGGTGCTGTGCCGAGGGGTGCTGTGCCTGGAGCTGCTGAGCTTGGGGGTGCTGAGTCTGGGGGTGCTGAGTCTGGAGCTGCTCAGCCTGGGGGTGCTGGGTCTGGAGCTGCTGAGCCTGGGGGTGCTACGTCTGGAGCTGCTGAGCCTGGGGGTGCTGCGTCTGAGGCTGCTGAGCCTGGGGTTTCTCTTGGTGCTGCATCTCGGCGGGAGCCCCTCTCTCCACAGGAGCTGCGCGAGTGGTTTGCTCGCCGCTGGAGGCGTACTGCCGGAGCTGGAGCTTCTTCGACCGTTGAGGGTGCTGTTGCCGCCGGTCCCGGAGCCGCTGGGCCTGCGGGTCCTACTGGAGCTGGAGCTGCTGGAGGTGTTGGTGCTGAGACTCCAGCTGTCTGTCCTGGAGGTGGTTCTGCTGCTGGTGCTGCTGGAGGTCCTGCCGCTGAGGGTGCTGGTGCTGTCCCTGCTGAGCCTGGAGATGCCGAGCGGCCTCGGCCGTACTTCGTTCCGCTCCTGCAGGAGGTTCTTGGTCTTTCTCCTCCGGTAGAGTGTCCACAGCCTGTCCAGTCGCAGTCACTGTTGGAGCCTTCCTCCCCACTGCCTGCTCCCTCTCCTTACACTGGTCCTACTTGAGGTCTTGCTGAGCGTCGTGAGCCTGCGTCTCGTCCCGCGTCGCCTGTTTGTGCTGCTCGCGCTAGTGGTTGCGGTTCGCATCAGCGACCTCCTCCTGTCCCTTGCACGCACCGGATGTCTCTGCGTCCGTCCACTGCTCCTCTGCGTGCCCCTTTGCCCTCTCCTCGTGAGTCCTCTCTTCCTGCGCTTGCCGACCCTGAGTCGGACTCCCTTCGTGCTGCCAGTCCTACTGTCACGCGTCTCCTTGCTACTGTCGTTACTGACCCCTCTTTTGAGTCCACTGCTGCGTCTGCTCTTGTCGCTGAGCTCGTCGACTTTGCTGCTCGCTGTCGTCTAGACTACGCTGCTAGTCTTGTTGCTGAGTCTGCGTCTGTCTGTCCTCCGTCCGTCGGGGGTGAGTGTGCTCTTGGCACGGACGTCCTAGAGGACAGGCAGGAGGAGTTACAGTGTCTGGCTGCTGCTTCACCTCATCTCGCGTCTGTACTGCTTGCTCCTGAGGGAGACCCGGATGCACTAGACATCCCGACTCCGCACTCCTACGCGGAGGCCGTAGAGGGTCCCTACTCCTCTCAGTGGCAGGCAGCTATGGATGCAGAGATGGCTTCCTGGAAGTCCACAGGCACCTACGTTGACGCGGTTCCCCCTCCTGGGGCGAACATCGTCAGTGGCATGTGAATCTTCAGGGTGAAGCGGCCGCCAGGCTCTCCACCTGTCTTCAAGGCGCGGTACGTCGCTCGTGGCTTCAGTCAGCGGTAGGGAGTTGACTACTTTCAGACCTTCTCTCCCACCCCGAAGATGACCACTCTTCGGGTGCTGCTACACATAGCCGCTCAGCGCGACTACGAGCTTCACTCTCTCGACTTCAGCACTGCGTTCCTGCAGGGTAGCCTGCACGAGGAGATCTGGCTGCGCCGTCCACTTGGCTTCACTGGGACTTTCCCTCCTGGCACCCAGTGGAGCCTCCGACGGCTAGTCTATGGTCTCCACCAGGCACCGCGTGAGTGGCACGACACACTGAGGACTACGCTTGCGGCTCTTGGGTTTGCTCCTTCTACTGCTGACCCGTCGCTGTTTCTGCGCACCGACACTTCACTGCCGCCGTTCTACATCCTCGTGTACGTCGACGACTTGGTCTTTGCCACAGCGGACACTGCTGGACTCGCCTACGTGAAGTCCGAGCTGCTGAAGAGACACACGTTCACAGACCTGGGTGAACTGCGCAGTTACCTTGGCTTGCAGATCACTCGGGACAGAGCACACCGCACCATCACCCTGACTCAGTCACACATGGTGCAGCAGGTCCTTCAGCGCTTCGGCTTCACGTACTCCTCGCCTCAGGCCACTCCTCTGTCTACCCGCCACTCGCTCTCAGCTCTGCCTTTGGATGAGTCCGTAGAGTCGAGTGGCCCGTACCCAGAGCTTGTTGGCTGCCTCATGTAACTGATGACCTGCACACGACCTGACCTTGCATACCCTCTGAGCATTCTTGCACGCTATGTTGCTCCTGGGAGACACCGACCAGAGCACATGGCTGCAGCGAAGAGGGTATTGCGCTACCTGTGCAGTACGTTGGGCATGGGGCTAGTGCTTGGAGGGCGGAGTCCAGTGGTCCTTACAGGTCACGCGGACGCTTCTTGGGCTGACGACCAGGCTACGCAGCGGTCGTCACAGGGTTACACCTTCAGCCTTGGTTCCGGCTCTGTCTCGTGGCGGGCTACTCGTTCGTCTTCGGTTCTCAGCTCCAGTTGTGAGGCTGAGATCTACGTAGGGGCCATGGCTGCACAGGAGCTTCGCTGGCTCACCTACCTGGTGACTGACCTTGGAGAGCCGCCTCGTTCTCCTCCAGTGCTGTACGTAGACAACAAGGCCATGCTGGCCTTGTGTCGAGAGCAGCGACTGGAGCACAGAACGAAGCACATTGCTCTTCGCTACTTCCTTGCTCGTGAGCTACAGCAGCGTGGACAGTTGCGGCTTGCGTACGTGGCCTCCGAGGCCAACACTGCTGATGTGTTCACCAAGGCATTTGCGCCTTGTGACCATCAGCGCTTCTGCACGCAGCTGGGTCTTGTGCCTGTCTTGTCTCACTTGCTCTCCTCTTGACTTTACTTGTACTGTGACATATATATACTTGCTCTTGCTTGTCTAGCTTTATATATATGTCTGTACTCTTGCATGTGAACTGGCCTTGTGGCCTTGCTCTTGTGCTCGGACTGTGTGGTGACTTTGTGATCCACCCTGAGCTTTGCTTTGTCTTGCTTGACTGGTCTTGTGACCCGTTGTTCTCCCCCACTTTGCCTATGGGGGTGTGTCAGAACATATATATAGCTTATACTATTGTGTAGGCTGTAGTGGGGTATCCCATAGGGGGTACAACCCAGTTAGGGTTTCCTATTTGTACTCACTTCATTCATAGTTTATTCATTCTCGTTCTATTCTCAACACTTGCAGCCGCGCTGCATTTGTCAGGTCAAAGGTCGCTGAACTTTGACTTTCGCGTAACCTCCAGCGGTTACATCAACCTCCGAGGGTTGACTCACTGGTGCCTCGATATGCGCTGCTTCGCTTGTGTCTTGGTGTTTCGACACGACAGAGGCGCTTAAGATTGTTTGTTCACAACAACAACATCAGGCAGCAGCAGTGGCGAGGATTGTCTGGAGCTGTACGGTTGAGTTTCGCTGTAATAAGGGAATGTACCCCTTAGAGTACATGGCTAGCTAGGTAGCTTCGTATTCCTCCCTGTACTCTTATTTATACCTTCGTATTTGAATGTTGTAATAATCTCAAGCATTTTACATTCACTCTGCTTTTGAGATCAAGGGCCCACCACCACAGAACCAATTGTGTGCGAACCTTCCTGAGGAGATCCTAGGGACGATCAATTTCTGATCGCAGGAAACTGCACTCTCAGATCCTTGTGTTGATTATTATAAGGCACAATACATCCACAATCTGTACAAAATGAATAGACTATCCTACACCCCGGATTAGCACGAAGTCAGAAGTACACAGGCACATGGTCATATCGAACATCATGCGGCACATGGCTTGGGCTTGACGGCACAGAGCAGCAGATGCAATGCTCGCAGCGCGCCGAGCACCACACACCACGCCCTCAATCGCGAGAACCAGCAGCCCACACCAGAAGCCGCCTGCACCGCCGCTCCCACCCAACTCGCACACAAGCCAGGCCACCTATTGATGATCCCCTGCCACATGGCACGCAGCGACAGGTCGACGAGCGAGAGCGGCAGGAAGAGCTGCAGCGACACGACGGCGCGCTCCACCAGCACGCGCCTCTCCCGCCCCTCGCCCTCCCTCCACCGCTGCACGCTTCCCTCGATCTTAACCCCCTCTGGCCCCGCAATCCACGTCATGCCGGCCATTGCCACGTCAGCCAGCGAGGCATACGAGTTGCGAACGCGCCTAGCCTGTCGATTGGTTCGGGGAGATGGAGCCTCACCACCGGTAGACCGACCTTGCCTGGGCAGTTCTGGCCCGACCTTTGTACACCCAGTGCTGGCGCAGCTGCTGCTGGTGGCCCCATCGCTGCTGGGTCGGCAACCGTTGCTGCCACGGCAGCGCGAGGCTTCGCCAGCTTTGTTTTGCTGCGCGTTCGAGGCGGAGTGCGTCGCTGCGCTACTAGCCGCGCGCCCCTCCGCAGGCCTTTTGTTCTCAGCAGGGGCTGATTGCCCCGTCTTCTGGCTCGCGCGGTCGCCGCCGCTCACCTTCTGCTGGCGCGGTTGCGCCGCTCTCTGAGGGAATGGTATAGGGATGTGGAGGGGAAGCGAAGGCGGAAGGGGGTGAGTGATGGCTCACGTTGACTCGGGAAGCACCGAATGTGCAGGTGTGGATGACGTGCGACGTGGACGGATTGTGAAGGACACCCGGCCTGCCTACCAGTGCTACGCCGTTCCGCGCACTCGCGCCTCACCTGCGGAGCCGTGGGCGTCGGAGCCGACGACGGTTGCGCTGGGCCGCCCCGCTGTCTGCCTGTGCCCCTTCCGCTGCCGTCCTTCTCCCCCTTGGCGCTCTCCCTGTGCGCCTCCCTGCCGCACAGCCACGTCTCGAATGCGTCTAGCTCGCCCCTCGCGCGACCAGCGCCCGGCGCGGGTACCTCCGCTTTCCTCGGCGCGCTGCCCTCCTTCCGCACCCGTAGCCGCTCGGCGGTCGCCGCCCCCGCAGGGCTTCTCGTCCCCTTGGCCCGCGCTGTCGCGCCCGCACTCACTGATTGCTGACTCTGGCGACGAGACGAACCCTGGCGAGCTGCATCGCATCGCACGAAAGTCCGTGCGACGATGTGCGACGGCTGTTGATGGGTCTGCGGCCGGAAAAAATCCAGCCAAAGAATGTCATCGTTTTCTGAGGAATAACAGAAAACAAGGCAAAGGTAAGTCATGCAGGATAAAATACTAGTAACAGAACATACAGCAATCAGCTGAGCAAGAACGCAGCCGTGGAATGGGAAGTGCGGAATCGTGCTCACCCTTAGCAAGCCTCAAACATGCGCGTTTAAGAGGATCAGATAACACCCGTTGAGGTGGAGAGTAGACACTGATTGCGCCTTTGAGAAAGGCTGTGCTGCGCGGCGGGCTGCATGCCATGGCCTGGTCCAAGATCTTCGAGAAAGAATCAAACAGCTATTGCGACACCTAGTACCGTTGCGTCAACGAGAGCCTATGTTTTCCGCTAAAATGTTAGTAGCCTAGGATACTGCATGTGTCTTGTTAGTAACCGCCACCCGTAGCAGCACCCTGGTGCGTCATGGCGGTGCCACACGAAACTAGCCCCTACCGCCAAGGGCTGGTACCCCGTGCGATTAAAGTCTAACTCGTTCAGCTAAATACTCGCGTGCTTCTACTTCCTGTCTGTCCGTCGTATCGGAATCACGGCTGACTTTGGGGACAAAAGCCGCCACAGCGCTTCAGGGTGCGAGCTAAGGTGTTTCGCTCGTGTTGGTGAGCGATCCTGTGTTGGGAAGTGGAGAACGTGAGGTGAATGGGGAGGCGGGGAGCACGACAGGCGCTTATGCTGGGTTGGTTGGGTTGACGGTGGTGTCGAGGCGCGAGCAATTTGAAGCTGCGCGCCTCGACAGAAGTTCAGTGTATTTTCGAAGGAGCCGGGAAACTGGGCACTAGCAGGCATGCCGTTGCGAGCGCCGACGTGGAAAATGTTGGTGGTGGTTATGCGCACCTGTTATTGAGGGGTTCGCGATTGTTAATCATTTTTCCACATGCAGTTCCAAGACGGTGGGTACCACCAAATAGTGAACTTTCACCCCACATGAAGTGACATTTCTTCGTTGCTTTTAGGTTTTTGAAGCATCCTTGAAGAACACAAGCAACACGAGTCACTATATATAAGAGACCAGTTCCACGCTATATCGTTTACTCATAGGGTTACATCTCCTTCATTTACACAGCTTGAGCTTCCTCATGTGAGGTGTGACAACGCTCTTGGGGTGTGGAAGAGTGGCGATGCACGTGGGCATGTTCTCAGGCTGCTCCATCCACACACGGTGAGTGATGCCCGCCTCCTGCAGCTTCTTGGACAGATTCAACAGCTGCGTCTCCCCCTTCACCTCTAGTGTCACCTGAGGGGGGAGAGAGGGGAGGGCGGCAACGGGGAAGAAGAAATGTTTGAAGAATCAGTAACAGGACTACAACACTGGATGAGGTGCTGAATGGTTCATGGCCATATGAACGCTGTGCCATTAGAGCTATAAAACTGCCGTCTAAGTCGTAGACTGAAGTGACGTGAGATTGAAGTAGCAAATCTGCCCCGAAGTGCGTGGCGGAAAGAAAGGGAGAATGAAATGAATCAATTGAATGAGGAAAACGTCTGTGTTGTGCTCAAAGGGCGAACGAGAGATGGCTGGCAGTTTCGCGGGGTAGGTATGCGAATATGCAGCAACAGGAAGCATCAGAGAAGAGCGAAAAAAATCATAATTTCTATGAGGATTTCAGAATAAATAATGTAGGTGAGACGTAGGGGGTGAGGGAGGATAAGGGGGGGGGGAAGGGGGGTTGGTGCGGGGGGGAAGAGATGTTGAACATCCACTGAGGGTTGTGAGGGATGATGATAGTGGCTGATACAGATGATGATAGTGGCTGATACCGATGATGATAGTGGCTGATACCGATGATGATAGTGGCTGATACCGATGATGATAGTGGCTGATACCGATGATGATAGTGGCTGATACCGATGATGATAGTGGCTGATACCGATGATGATAGTGGCTGATACCGATGATGACTCTGGGGAACGCAGTTACTACCCAACTGAAAACTCAAGCACCCATGCTTCAAACAAGGTGACGAAAAACCCCAGCTTTCCAGAGTAAAGCCATCAAGTTACCCTCTTTTCGAGCTCAAAACGGCCAATAACATCCATGAGCTCTTTTCTAGCTCGAACCAGATGTTCCTGCGGCTTCACGGATTCAGAATGCTGCGTTGCCGGTAACAGAAGTGCTGCAAACCTCACCCTCCCCTCCCCCCTCTCCCCCTCCGCCCCCACAAGTCAATTCATGCACACCATATGAAGCAATATTGTGAAATCTGAAGCCGCAAGTTCAATCAAGGGTTCAAGGCTCCAAATCTCAAGTTGACTTTTGAGTCGACTCAAAAGTCAACTCGGGTTCAAGGCTCCAAATCTCAAGTTGAGTCGACTCAAAAGTCAACTCGGGTTCAAGGCTCCAAATCTCAAGCCTGAAATCATAAGTTTGAAAAACTGGGTGCCTGGGATCCAGAGATGCGAGTTATTGAGCGCGCTTGTGAGCAGCAATGCCCACACGCAAGGCTAAAAAATACAGTTTTCGTAAAATACAGTCCGATTTTTACGGTGAAAAAAAGAAAGAAAGAAAGATAGAAAGAAAACCAGATCAAATACATTCTTTATAATGCCAACAACCGGACACATGCAAGAAGGGGTTCGTCCCCTTCATCCTGCTGAATTTCTGGTTCAATTTGGTCTCATAAAGTGGCTGTTTTGTCAATAAAACAGAAAACACCTCCTGGAACCGTTTTGAACCGTTTTTTAAGATACCGTTTTTTATGGCCTTATTTTTAACCCTTCCCACACGGCATCACCGCACCCACCTTGCGCATGGAGTCAAGCTGCCCACAGTACTTGAGCACATTGGGGTGGTGGCGGTGCTGCCACAGCACGGCCACAGTGGCATGGCAGCCCTGTGTGATGACGGACCCCAGCGGCCACTGCAGCGCCTCCACCAGGTCGCGCCGGATCACCACGTGCTGCACCAACGCCTCCTCCTCTTCCCCCGCCACTCCCTCCCCCTCCCCCTCCCCCTCGCCCTGCGCCTGCCCCTGCCCCTCCCCGCTCCCCTGCAGTGCCCCATCCCCTGCCCCACTAAACTCCAGCCCGCCTGTGGCGCCTCCCTCTGCTACCCCCTGTGCTGCAGTCCTCTCTACACCCTCCGCACCGCTTGGCCCAGCTGGCTGCTCTGCTGCAGCCCCACCTGCTGCAGAGTCAGCAGCAGTCCCGGCCATACCCCCACCCTGTCGGCTCGTGGCGGCGCAGACGGTGTGCAGTGGAGAGCGGATGGCACTCACTCGCCCCTCGTGTGCTCGGTGGTTGGAAGGGGGCACGCCGGTACCTGATGGTGACGGCGGCACAAAGGCGTGGTTGCTGCTGCGGCACTGCTGTGTGTGCTGCGTGCGAGAGCTTTGCCTGCTGCCCGTGTGCTGGGTGTGCCGGGTGTGCTGATTGTGCCGGGTGTGTGTGCAGGGAAGGCTGGTTACTGAGTGGGCAGTGCGAAATGGCAGGAGGTGCAGAGTGGGAGAGGCACGGGGAGCGAGCGGGAGAGAGACGGCTGCTGTGCAGGTGGCGAGGGGGCGGGGCATGCGGGCTGTATGGCGTGACACAGGAGCGCTGTGTGACACAGGAGCGCTGTGTGACACAATGAGTGTTCTTGCAACGAGGGCCTCTGCAGCACTGCGGATGGGAGGGATGAAGGAAAAAGTGGGTGGAGAACATGGGTAAGAGAGAAGAGGAGGCAAGGTCTATGGGGCTGATGCCATCAGGGCGTGCGCTGCTGGCACGATGCGCGGGTAATGCGCGAGAAGAGGCAAGGTTTATGGGGCTGGGGCATCGGGTAATGCGCGATGAGGGCAGCAGTGCCACCCATGCGTTGGGACGAAGGAGGGAACGAGGAGGCGAGGGAACGAGGAGGCGAGGGAACGAGGAGGCGAGGGAGAGCGGGAGAGAGGGCAGAGTGGTGGGCTCACATGGGGCGGCGCAGCATCGTACAGTGGGGCGCTCGGCGCTGCACGCGCGCGCTGCTGCTGCTCGAGGTCGAGGCGGCAGCCCCCTTCACGCCCCCGAATGTGCCGCCCGATCCGCGCGACCTTCGCGACCCGCGCGATGCGTGGTGCAATCACGTAGGGGAAGCACCACGAAAGAGTGGGAGAGGGAGAGGGAAAGAGGGAGCACGCCCCGTCGCGACGCCTAATGTTCTCCGTTGAGTGCGAAGCAGCGCCCGAGCGAAACGAGGTGCGCAGGGAGGGCGACAAGAATCGCACGCGCGGAAGGAGCGGAAGGGCGAGGAGAAGGGGGGAAAGGGGTTGAAGGCATCCCGCTAAAATTGTTTTGACACTGGCGAGGGGAGGGGAACCAGAACAATCTCACCTTCACGGGGTCACCCAACACAGTTCCCCACAGAACCTCTCGGCACTGGCGACGTAATCGACACTCGCAGAGGTCTTCGCACACCTCGTGACTTGTGCGAATCTTCAATTGTAACTCAGCAGCATCGAAGATGCAGAGGGGACTGAACACACTAGATGAGTTTTCTCAATCACCCCCTCGACGCAAACCATCCACCCACTACACGAACATCACGCCTGAGGTAACTAACAGGAACAGTCCTTGCGCTATTCCAACAACGAAGGCTTGCTTCGGGCTGCAAATGGTAGGAGAATCCTCTTACGCGCTGCTAAGGGCCGTGCCGTCCTTCCTCCAACCCTACCTCTTCCCTCTCCCTAGGACAACCTTCTCTTCCCTCTCCCTAGGACAACCTTCTCTTCCCTCTCCCTAGGACAACCTTCTCTTCCCTCTCCCTAGGACAACCTTCTCTTCCCTCTCCCTAGGACAACCTTCTCTTCCCTCTCTTCCTTCTCTTCCCGCTCGGACAACAGTCGCGCTCACGTCGCTCCCCAGCTGACTATCCAGGTCGCGAGAATCGCGTGTGTTAACGACGAACGACCGTGGGGATTGTAACACGGTTCTCGCACGAAGACCGCGAGAAGCATTCTGCTGTGATGGGAACGGATGGGAGGGGCGGTTGGGCTAGCGCCGACAACCACGACCGGAGATTTGATAGCGCAGGGGGCGGGGAAATAGGTGGAGGCGGGGGGGAATTTGGCGGGGGATTCGACGACGCTGACGGGGCGGCGGAGGGCGACGAGAAGGCAGTGGCGCGCGGGGGAGAGGCGGGCGGAGGGGACGTGAAGGCGGAGGCGCGCGGAGAGGGCCAGGCGCAAGGAGGGGCAAGCGGTGGGGAGAAAGCGGAGGATGTGGGGAAGGAGCAGGCGGCGAGCGGCGCTTATTGCGCGCGGGAAGCGAGCCTGCACGCGGAGGTGGGCTGCAGAGGGAGGAGGGTGGGGGGTGAGGTGGAAGCATGATGGACGGGTGATTAAGGGGGTGAGGGGGGAGAGTAGTGAAAGGGGAGCAATGGAGGGGAAGTGGTCGAATGGGATGGCTGGATGTAACTGCTGCATGGCTGATGGCGCTGCATGGCTGATGGCGCTGCATGGCTGATGGCGCTGCATGGCATGCCAGCCTTCCCGTTTCACACCACTGTATTCATTCCTCCGTCCCTCACCTCTCCTCCGCACTCCATGTCCTCTCTTCATGCCATCATTTGCAACACCTTTCACCCTCCCCCACACATACCTTGTCGCCTTCCCGTCTTCGCTTGTCCTCTCTGCTGCTTGCCGTTTTCCGTCTGCCCCGCGTGCCCCCACCCCACCCCAGCCACCCCACTCCTTCCCCTTGCACACCACCCCACCTCGTCCCACCCTACCCCACCCCACCCCACATCTCCCTGTGGTGGCAGGAGGCGGCTGGCACTCTGAAATTCATATGCTGCCGAAACGATGGGGTGGACGAACACATGATATGGTATGATGCACACACGTGGTCTTGTAAGGCATGGTGATAGGAGGATGCATGGTAACACGCCGAGGCATGGCATGGCATGGCATGGCATGGCATGGCAAGGCATGGCATCTGAGCAAGGTTGGGTAGATAAGGCTGGGTGTGTGTATGGCTGTGATCGCACCGATTGGCGCCTGGCTATGTTGCGAAAGACGCGTCCTGCGTCTAAAACGCTTGCGTCCAGGCGCAGCCTCTTAGACGCAGGACACTTCTTTGGGCCCTGTGAGGCGCTGGAAAAGGCGCATGCTCGGGCAGGGCAAAAAAACGTCCGGGCAGCCAAAAAAACATGCTATATGACATGGGAAGGAGGGGGGGAGAACGACGTACCACACATTTGAGGCAAAATTTTCCCCATCCAACATATTTTCCCCCATAAACAGGTTTCACAAGAGTCACACATGGTCTAGGGTTTTTGAAGGAGAATTGAAGTGAGCTCGAGATTTGGAGGCGAATGAAGTGTTTGTGCTCCTACAAGTACTTGGTGGTGGACCACAATGGTTGGGGGGGTTTTCAAACTTGGTTGGGGGGCGGTTTTTCAAGGTCGACATGGGTGTTTGGGGGGACGAAATTTCGCGAACATGACATTCGCGACGAAAGCGCGAATGTCAGTTTCGCGCTGGGCAATTTTTTTTTTCGGTCAGCCCGAAAAAAAACGGCGTGCGTCCTGCGTCCCTGCGTCTGGACGCAGCGTCCAGACGCAGGACGCACGATGCGCCCAGTGTCTTTTGCAACATAGGCGCCTGGGCGTGTTGACTCGTGCAATGCATGCGTTGGCAATCGATGCTCTGTCAAGGGCCGTGCCGTCCTACCTCCACACCTATCTCTTCCCTCTCCATCTTCGCTCCCACTGTCCTTGCTTTGAATCCATTCCATCCCCTCCTTTCCCTTGTCCTTCCTGGGCATGGGCATGGGCATGGGCATGGGCATGGCTTGCGTGTGTGTGAGTGTGTGAATGCAGGCTGGTGGGGTTGAAGAACATATTCTCACGGCAGCTGCCCAACATGCCTAAAGACTACATCGTGCGCCTGCTGCTCGACCGGTACGTGAGGGGATGCTGCTCGACCGGTACGTGAGGGGATGCTGCTCGACCGGTACGTGAGGGGATGCTGCTCGACCGGTACGTGAGGGGATGCTGCTCCACCTGCTAGGGTAAGAATGCTGGTAGCTGATTCGTGATGTTGCTGCTGAGCCTTCAGTTGTCACTTAAACAAGATTGGGTTGACAAGTGCTGGACGTTAGAGGGCCCCAATGTAAGCCGTGCGAGAGCCACTGGGTGGGTGTCAGCCCTGCCAGAGCCACTGGGTGGGTTCTTCTTGGGACTGGCCGGTAGGTGGACGGCTGGGTGGGAGGGCGTGGGTTCATTCCACTTCCCCTGGTGCTCTTTCCACGCTGTGATGTGCCGTGTGCATACCTCATGCTCGTGTGTTTCTGGCTCATCCCTGCTCCCTCCATGCACGCACACACCCCCCATCAGAACGCACAAGTCAATGATGCTCATCAAGGCTGGCACGGTCGTTGGTGGCATCACATACCGCCCCTACCCCTTGTGAGTGCCCCTACCCCTCGTGAGTGTGTGTTCACTCTGTTGCAATCACATACCAGCATTTGGTGTCTGTATGCATTTTGAATATGTTCAGTATGACCTGCGGCAAGTTGTTGCCATTTGTCCTTGTGCCATGCAAGCTTACAGCCTTTTCATCATTCACGTGGCATCACATGGCATGTCATGGCGTCACATGGCATCACATGGCATCACATGGCATCACATGGCATCACATGGCATCACATGGCATCACATGGCATCACATGGCACCACATGGCATGACATGGCATGACATGGCATGACATGGCACCACTCTGTCGCTGTGCAGGCAGCGGTTTGGGGAGATAGCGTTCTGTGCCATTACTGCCACGGAACAGGTGAGCGGCATGGGGCATGTGAGAGGCATGGGGCATGTGAGAGGCATGGGGCATGTGAGAGGGATGGGGCATGTGAGAGGCATGGGGCATGTGAGAGGCATGGGGCATGTGAGAGGCATGGGGCATGGGGCATGTGAGAGGCATGGGGCATGTGAGCGGCATGGAGCATGTGAGAGGCATGGGGCATGTGAGTGGGATGGGGTATGTGAGAGGGTGGCAGACCAGATTTTTAAGCAAACATTTTAACTAACAAACTTTTTTACAAGTTGAATCAGTCGCAGCCACGTAAAGACATGGCTCCTATCTGGGGCCCCGATGGCAAACCAAGGTGCGTGTGACTGCCACACTTCACTGCACAGTGCGCATGTGTGTGTGTGTGTGTGTGTGTGTGTGTGTGTGTGTGTGTGTGTGTGTGTGTGTGTGTGTGTGCTCTTCAATCCCCAGCAAGCGGCCAGTGCACCATGCTGTGCCCGTGTGTGTGCGGTCAGCTGTACGACTGTGTAGGGATGAGCAAAGGGCGAACACGAACATGTTCGTCTTCGCCCCTTGTCGAACACCCTCTTTTGCCGAACCGAACACTGTTCGGTTCGGCGAACAGTTTAGGAAAAAACAGGTGTTCGCTGTTCGCCTGTGGAGGCGTGTTCGGGCGAACCTCGAACACTGTTCGTGTTCGTCGCGGGCAAATTTCAGCAGCGGCCCGAACAGGAACGTGTTTGCGCGAACATCGAACACTGTTCGGCGAACGATTTGAGCTAAAAAACAAAACCTGTTCGGTTCGCCTCGAACGTGTTCGAGGCGAACCGAACAGGTGTTCGCCACCTTGCTCATCCCTACGACTGTGTGTGTTGAGTGGTGCGGTCAGCTGTACGACCGTGTCAAATGGTGCGTGCATGCTGTGAGCTTTAAGTGGGGGGAAGCGGCACTCACCTGTGGCTGGGCGAGCCCATGACGCTTCCATGAATGCTCATCGTGCTGTGCTGCTGTGTGCTGTTTTCTGTGCCGTGCTGTGCTGTGCTGTGCTGTGCTGTGCTGTGCTGTGCTGTGCTGTGCTGTGCTGTGCTGTGCTGTGCTGTGCGGTGCTGTGCTGTGCTGTGCTGCACGGGGTGCAGGTGAGGGGGTACGGCACGAGGCTGATGAATCACCTCAAGGCGTATGCGAGGGATGAGGACGGGCTGCGCTACTTCCTCACATACGCCGACAACAACGCTGTTGGCTACTTCGTCAAGCAGGTGCTGCCCCATGCTGCCCATGCTGCCCATGCTGCATGCCTGATGGTGGTTGTTGACAGCAATGCCATGCCACTCCTGTTTCTCTGCTTTTCCTTCCAGCTTCTCCCTCCCGTGCCGGTTTTCTGTCTCAATGACTCTTTCCTGGCTAATCAATTCCTGATGCGTGTGTGTGGATGTCTGTGTGTGTGCATGTGTGCATGTGGACATGCAGGGATTCACGAAGGAGATCACCATGCCTAAAGCGCAATGGGAAGGGTACGTTTCATTGCTGGCTCGCACCAATTTTTGCCCACCAAACCAACCCACCAATCCGTGCAATTATTTGTTTGTCTCCATTCATCCACTCATCTGGCTACCCATTAGTCCACAAGCATATGAGCCTTTCCCCTACCCTCTACCTCCTCTCTCCTCTTCCCTCCCCCTTCCCCCGTTCTCCCTCTTCCCTCTTCGCCCCTCACCCCTCGCCACGCGCCCGTCGGCCTGGCAGGTACATAAAGGACTACGACGGGGGCACGCTGATGGAGTGTGTGCTGGAGAAGGGGCTGCCCTACACCTCGCTGCCCGCCGTGCTGCTCAAGCAGCGCCAGGTGGGGGGGGCAGTGGCAGGTGGGGGGAGCAGTGGCAAGTGAGGGGGTAATTTCCCTCGTGCAATTGCCTTGTCTCGTGCAATTGCCTTGCCTCGTGTCATGCAATGGGGAGAGAACAGGTACCACTCTTGTTCTCTTGTGCAAACCGTCTCCCTCCAATCCTGCATCTCTTCACACAGCCTTGCACCTGCACACGGGAAGGCTCAGCTACTCCACGCCACGCCAGGCCATGCCACGCCACGCCACGCCACGCCAGGCCACGCCACGCCACGCCAGGCCACGCCACGCCACGCCACGCCAGGCCAGGCCACGCCACGCCACGCCAGGCCACTCCACACCACGCCACGCCACGCCACGCCACGCCACGCCACGCCACGCCACGCCACGCCACGCCACGCCACGCCACGCCACGCCACGCCAGGCCAGGCCAGGCCAGGCCAGGCCACGCCACGCCACGCCACGCCACGCCACGCCACGCCACGCCACGCCAGGCCACGCCAGGCCACGCCAGGCCACGCCAGGCCACGCCAGGCCACGCCAGGCCACGCCAGGCCACGCCAGGCCACGCCACGCCACGCCACGCCACGCCACGCCACGCCACGCCACGCCACGCCACGCCACACCACGCCACGCCTCGCCACGCCACGCCACGCCAGGCCACGCCACGCCACGCCAGGCCACGCCACGCCACGCCACGCCACGCCACGCCACGCCACGCCACGCCACGCCACGGCATGCCATGCTCGTGTAACCATCTGCCCAGGTGCACATCTCGCTCACCTGCCACCACCCTTCCTTCCACCCCCCCCCTGCCCCCCTCAACTGAACCCGTCCAGGCCATAACGGAGCGCATGAGGCAGGTGGCGCGCAGCCATGTGGTGCACCCGGGGCTGGACTTCCCGCGCGACTCCTGGGGCGTGCCCAGGCGCGCCCTCAGACTCGCCGACATCCCCGGGCTGGCGGAGAGCGGGTGGACGCCCGAGCACAGCGGTGCCAATAAGATCCGATTGGTGCAGGTGGCGCCAGATGGGACAAAGGATGTGAGCCGCGACGGGCCGCCCACCAAGGCCCAGCTGCACAACCTGATGAAGCAGATGCACCGGGTAGGGCGGGCATATGCACCGGGTAGGGTGGGCAGATGCACCAGACCAGGGAGGGCAGATGCACCAGACCAGGGAGGGCAGATGCACCAGACCAGGGAGGGCAGATGCACCAGACCAGGGAGGGCAGATGCACCAGACCAGGGAGGGCAGATGCACCAGACCAGGGAGGGCAGATGCACCAGACCAGGGAGGGCAGATGCACCAGACCAGGGAGGGCAGATGCACCAGACCAGGGAGGGCAGATGCACCAGACCAGGGAGGGCAGATGCACCAGACCAGGGAGGGCAGATGCACCAGACCAGGGAGGGCAGATGCACCAGACCAGGGAGGGCAGATGCACCAGACCAGGGAGGGTCTCGTTATGACCGCGGGCAGAAGCCCAATTCCTGGATGGGGACCATCCTGCATGCATGCAGTCAGCTTTTGCCCGTGCCGCTCTCAACCATCTGCCTCTCTCATCCATCTGCCCCTCTCAACCATCTGCCTCTCTCATCCATCTGCCCCTCTCATCCATCTGCCTCTCTCATCCATCTGCCCCTCTCATCCATCTGCCCCTCTCACCCATCTGCCTCTCTCATCCATCTGCCCCTCTCATCCATCTGCCTCTCTCATCCATCTGCCTCTCTCATCCATCTGCCTCTCTCATCCATCTGCCCCTCTCACCCATCTGCCCCTCTCACCCATCTGCCCCTCTCACCCATCTGCCCCTCTCACCCATCTTCTCCTCACTCCCTGCGCCCTGCCACCCTTTTGTCACTCCCTGCGCCCTGCCACCCTTTTGTCACTCCCTGCGCCCTGCCACCCTTTTGTCACTCCTTGCGCCCTGCCACCCTTTTGTCACTCCCTGCGCCCTGCCACCCTTTTGTCACTCCTTTTGTGTCTCTTCAAAAGTATGTCACCATGCCTTTTTTCTACAGCCGCCAAGCCCCCATGCCGCCATGCCTCCATGCCGCCATAACCCCCATGCCCCCATGCCCCCATGCCCCCTTGCCCCCATGCCTCCATGGCACGGATCGTCATGACGGGGCGGGGCGGAGGGGAGGGCAGGCGGTGATGGAGCATGCGGACTCGTGGCCGTTCAAGGACCCCGTAGACGGCAGCGAGGTGCCCGACTACTATGACATCATCAAGGACCCCATCGGTGCGTGCTGACATCATCAAGGACCCCATCGGTGCGTGCTGACATCATCAAGGACCCCATCGGTGAGCGCTAGTGCTATCAGTGAGGTGCGCTGGTGCGCCACTGCTACTCGCCACTGCTACTCGCCACTGCTACGCGCCACTGCTACTCGCCACTGCTACGCGCCACTGCTACTTGCCACTGCTACTCGCCACTGCTACTCGCCACTGCTACTCGCCACTGCTACGCGCCACTGCTACGCGCCACTGCTACGCGCCACTGCTACTCGCCACTGCTACTCGCCACTGCTACTCGCCACTGCTACTCGCCACTGCTACGCGCCACTGCTACGCGCCACTGCTACTCGCCACTGCTACGCGCCACTGCTACTCGCCACTGCTACTCGCCACTGCTACTCGCCACTGCTACTCGCCACTGCTACTCGCCACTGCTACTCGCCACTGCTACGCGCCACTGCTACTCGCCACTGCTACTCGCCATTGCTACTCGCCACTGCTACTCGCCACTGCTACTCGCCACTGCTACTCGCCACTGCTACTCGCCACTGCTACTCGCCACTGCTACTCGCCACTGCTACTCGCCACTGCTACTCGCCACTGCTACTCGCCACTGCTACTCGCCACTGCTACTCGCCACTGCTACTCGCCACTGCTACTCGCCACTGCTACTCCCCACTGCTACTCGCCACTGCTACTCGCCACTGCTACTCGCCACTGCTACTCACCACTGCTACTCGCCACTGCTACTCGCCACTGCTACGCGCCACTGCTACTCGCCACTGCTACTCGCCATTGCTACTCGCCACTGCTACTCGCCACTGCTACTCGCCACTGCTACTCGCCACTGCTACTCGCCACTGCTACTCGCCACTGCTACTCGCCACTGCTACTCGCCACTGCTACTCGCCACTGCTACTCGCCACTGCTACTCACCACTGCTACTCGCCACTGCTACTCGCCACTGCTACTCGCCACTGCTACTGCTGCCACTTCCATCAGCCCCGCCTAGTGATGACTGCCCTGCCTAGTGATGACTGCCCCGCCTAGTGATGACTGCCCCGCCTAGTGATGACTGCCCCATCATGAAAGTCGCACTCGTGTGTCGTCTGCCGTGTGTGGATGACTGCTCCCACACTCGCATCCTTAAGCATCTCACCCCCTCTGATTTCTATTCGTTGTTCAGAAGGTCGATTGGAGTAGTTGTAGTTTGTGCATGACAAAACGCAATGGATGCCTTGCGCGTGGATGTGCTGTTTCTATGCGCAAGCATCATTTGCGTGTGTTCATCCCCGTTATGCACTTGACTGTTGTGTGTACCCATCCCATTTCGCTCCTCTTCCCCTAGTCCTTCTTCGCTCCTGCTTCTCTGCCTACCGACTTCAGTCTTCGTTTCATCTCCGTCTTCGCCTTGCCGACCCTCCCCTACTCCCCTGCCACCCTGCCCCCCTGCACCCCCGGGGCGTGGCAGATCTGAGGACGATGCAGAAGCGGCTGGAGGCGGAGAGCTTCTATGTGACAATCGACATGTTTGTGGCGGACATGCGCCGCATGACTGCCAATGCCCGCACCTACAACGCCCCTGACACCATCTACTTCAAATGCGCCAACAGGTGAATGTGGAAAGTATGGGTGCTCATCAGGTGAATTTGAGGTGAAGTTTCAGGTGAATTTGAGGTTAAGTTTCAGGTGAATTTGAGGTGAAGTTTCAGGTGAATTTGAGGTGAAGTTTCAGGTGAATTTGAGGTTTCAGGTGAATTTGAGGTGAAGTGTCAGGTGCTCCAACATGTGGTGCGGAAGCAACCTTAGAAAACTTGCGCTATCTCTCCTTCGCCTCATTTTTCACCACTTCCTCTTTGCATTTCTTTCTTTTCCCACTCCCCTACCTCTCTCCCCACCCCACCCTATGCCCAGGCTGGAGAACTTCTTTCTCAACAAGCTCAAAGCCTCCGTGCGCCTGCACCACGGCTGACCCTTTCTGCTTTGTTTCACTCCACTCCACTCCACTCCACTCCACTCCACTCCACTCCACTCCACTGCACTGCACTCCAAGGCATCGCACCATCATCAGCAAGAACTTCCGGAATACGGCTGCACCTGGTTCACAGTGAGGGCTGCCAGATGCTAACAGGGTTGGGTGAAGCAGGATGGTTTGGCTGTGGCTGTTGCTGTTGCTGTGATGGAGCATCGCTGCTCCATTCCCTCACCTGCCAACACTGCCCTGGCTGCACCTGCTCATTCTCGCAGGTGCTCTGCAGTATCACTGTATCTGTGTTAAGGATAAACCTCATAAATGAAATAGAATATATATATATTACAGTGTGACATGACTCAAGGGGCATGAACGGACGTCACACAAGGTCGGGCCAGACAGCATAGTCAGAGCGAGGGTCGTTGGGGTCGTGCAGGCCATCTTGGTAGGCCATCAGGTACGCAGAGCGAGACGTGTCGATGTTCACCACTGCATGCGCGCTCATGGCTGGGCATGCCATCACCGCCACGTCATCCGCTGTCAGAATGACCTCAGCAAAGCCCTTTGCCACGTCACGGTTCTCGTTCTGTGGGGAGGAGTCACAGGGAGCAGTAGGGGGAGGGGATGGGATGGGGAAGAGGGAATGTGTGAAGAGAAGAAGCATTGTCACGGGAAAGTGAGAGATGGGACTGTGATGAGGAAACGGGCACTGACGACGCCAGTCATTCATCCTGTTGGATACTCCACATACACTTGCCATCACAATGACAACACAGTGGCAGCACAGTGCCATCACAGTGGCAGCACAGTGCCAGCACAGTGGCAGCACAGTGCCAGCACAGTGGCAGCACAGTGCCAGCACAGTGGCAGCACAGTGCCATCACAGTGGCAGCATATGCACGTGAGGTGGATCACACATGCAGCAGGCCACCTCTGCCCTCACCACCCCACCACCCCACCACTCCACCACTCCACCACCACACCACGTCTGCCTTGACCATCAACACCCAACCGTTTCAACCACCCTGTAAGCCTCCACCCACCCCTATGGACCCTTCGACCTACCCTCACCTCTCATTCCTCCACTCTCCCTCACCCCTCACCTCTCATTCCTCCACTCTCCCTCACCCCTCACCTCTCATTCCTCCACTCTCCCTCACCCCTCACCTCTCATTCCTCCACTCTCCCTCACCCCTCACCTCTCATTCCTCCACTCTCCCTCACCCCTCACCTCTCATTCCTCCACTCTCCCTCACCCCTCACCTCTCATTCCTCCACTCTCCCTCACCCCTCACCTCTCATTCCTCCACTCTCCCTCACCCCTCACCTCTCATTCCTCCACTCTCCCTCACCCCTCACCTCTCATTCCTCCACTCTCCCTCACCCCTCACCTCTCATTCCTCCACTCTCCCTCACCCCTCACCTCTCATTCCTCCACTCTCCCTCACTCCTCACCTCTCATTCCCCCACTCACACGCACTTCCATTCCCCCACACACCCGCACTTTTTCCCCTCTCCACTCACCCGCACTCTCATCCCCCCTCGCCACTCACCCGCACTCTCATCCCCCCTCTCACTCACCCGCACTATCATCCCCCCTCTCCACTCACCCGCACTCTCATCCCCCTTCTCCACTCACCCGCACTCTCATCCCCCCTCCCCACTCACCCGCACTCTCATCCCCCCTCGCCACTCATCCGCACTCTCATCCCCCCTCTCCACTCACCCGCACTCTCGTCCCCCCCACCGCACCCTCATTCGCCCTCTCCGTGCTCCACTCACCCCCATGAACAATAACAGTCGTGGCTGTGACTCACCCGCACTCTCATTCTCGCCCCCCACAGCACCAACGTCTCGTTGTAGTCATGGTGCCGGTGGTTTCCACGAACCTTCTCAGGTAGCACCTCCCCCACATGCGTCATGAGGCATGACGTGGCACCCCCTGGGAGGAAAGGGGAGGGGCGGCACAGAGGGCACCCGCGGGGGGAAAGGGGCTTGAGATGATTACCTAGAGTTGAGCGAACCAGGTGCTGAGTGTCATCAAGAGTACTAGATGGGTCTCGCACGTAACAGCTCGGAAGCATGAGGGCAGAACGGCATGAGGAGGCAGAGCGTCACCTCCTCTCCCCGCTATCTATCGACTTCACCCTCGTGTTCAACACCTTCCACCCCGCCCTCTCCTCTCCTCTCCTCTCCTCTCCCCACAAGGGCAGACTTCACCCTCGTTTTCAACACCTTCCACCCCGCCCTTCACCTTCCACCCCGCCCTTCACCTTCCACCCCGCCCTTCACCTTCCACCCCGCCCTTCACCTTCCACCCCGCCATTCACCTTTCAGCCCAGCGGCCACCGCTGCGGCAAGCGGGTCAATCATCCACCCGCGCGCGTCCTGCCTCGCATCCGCCCCCTTCCCCTCCCCCCCACCCCCATCTCCCCCCTCCTTCACACCCACGGCTAGCCGCACTACCCTCGCCGCCCCGTCGAACCGCATCGTGCCTCCCGCCTCCTCGTCCCGCCGCGACACGGCCGGGGGGGGCCGGCTGGTGGAGGCGAGGAGCAGCGCGGGCGGGGGGGGTTGCGCGTGGGAGAGAGCGAGGTAGGCGAGGAGGGCGGCGAGGAGGAGCAGCACGGCGAAGGGCGCGAGGAGACGCGACACCACGTCGCACCCGTGCTGCTGCTGCCCGCCCGGCAGCTGCTGCTGCGCTGTGAGCTGACGGTGGTGGCCTGGCTTGTGCGCGCCGGGCGCCATCATGGCAGGTAAGTTGGAGGTAACGCTCAGACTGGCTTGCGCCAACCGTCAAAACGTTTCGACGCTGACGCTTGACATACGATTTTTCGTTTGACGCTTGGTCGAAAAAAATCGGACAGCCCAGAATCGGGACACTACGTGTGTAAGGCTCGCATCACTATTTAGAGTCGAATCTGCAGAAAGGAAATCTCATCTTGTAGAAGCAACTTCGACAGCCCCTCGCAAAGCACTAAGGGCGGGTCATACTTTATTGTTCTGGGCTCGTTCAACGTGGTTGAATACGGTAAACTACGTTTGGGCGCAGTTTTGGTCGTTCACCGCATTAGACCATTGCGCACCAGGATGAACCATTCAAAACGAACCTGGAACAAACAACGTTAAAGCCAGGGTCTCAAGTAGTTCAAGTGCTTTGCAGTCGACGGAAACAGGGGTGTTCTGATTGGCTGACGAATCTGAAACCAAACTGAAGTGCAAACGAGTCTCGCCACCGAACATTCATTTCCCAAGACAAACCAACACGTCAATTTGTGACGACGGATTTGTTGTCGCACGCCTAAACCAGCCCAAGGGTCAACTGTTTTGCACAATTACGAGCGATGCATCTGAGACAACACACTCACCCACCAGCAGTGGACCTAATCAGTACATACGCCGGGGAGACCGTGTGGTGGTGGTAAAGCGACGACGAACAGGCTCGAGTACTGATCGAGGTAAGTGGTGACACCAAGGACAACATACGCTCTTCACAAATAGTAATGGGTTTAGGTCAGCCACCGATGGCTTCAAGCAGCAAGGAGCGATGCAGCACAAATCTTCGTGTGACAAGACGCCATCAGATGCGGAGTGAGCCGGGCTTACGAAATCACATACGACAGTCGCCACGGCTTACAGGAACACGCGCAACGCGATTAGGGATGGGAAGTAGTGTTCATAGGGGAACACAGCGTGATCTATCACAATCCGCGTACGCAACAGGTGACGAGGTAGTGACGCTAACTCGCCCGCACAGTGGCGTCACACAGCAGGCTGCGCAATTAGGGAATCGCATTCCTAACTGCCATTACGGGGCGAAATTGCACCACGCGGCGCAAACCAATCGCACTCCAAGGACGCAGCGGAATGCGTACACTGCTCCCCCCGTCTCATCCAGGCCTCGATCAACCCGCTCCACACTGCTTTCATCACCACATGAATCGCCAAAGGGCATGTATCAACCTCGTTGCCACTGACGGTCGTACCGCTAACGAACAGTTTGCCATCTGCGCACGATCGCATGTGCCTGTGATCGAAATGGGAGAGTCCTCGCACTTCAATGTCCGATTACGTGTTATAAGTGAGACTGTGGTCACCCCCAAGGGAGACGGACAGGGAGGTAACCCCTGTGAATCTCCCACGCTCCCACCTCACGCTGTGAATCTCAGCCCCTCACCTCCCACGCCCCGCTGCTCCCCCGTTGTGCACCACGCTTGCTCCCACGCCCCGCTGCTCCCCCGTTGTGCACCACGCTTGCTCCCACGCCCCGCTGCTCCCCCGTTGTGCACCACGCTTGCTCCCACGCCCCGCTGCTCCCCCGTTGTGCACCACGCTTGCTCCCACGCCCCGCTGCTCCCCCGTTGTGCACCACGCTTGCTCCCACGCCCCGCTGCTCCCCCGTTGTGCACCGCGCTTGCTCCCACGCCCCGCTGCTCCCCCGTTGTGCACCACGCTTGCTCCCACGCCCCGCTGCTCCCCCGTTGTGCACCACGCTTGCTCCCACGCCCCGCTGCTCCCCCGTTGTGCACCACGCTTGCTCCCACGCCCCGCTGCTCCCCCGCTGTGCACCACGCTTGCTCCCACGCCCCGCTGCTCCCCCGTTGTGCACCACGCTTGCTCCCACGCCCCGCTGCTCCCCCGTTGTGCACCACGCTTGCTCCCACGCCCCGCTGCTCCCCCGTTGTGCACCACGCTTGCTCCCACGCCCCACTGCTCCCCCGTTGTGCACCACGCTTGCTCCCACGCCCCGCTGCTCCCCCGTTGTGCACCACGCTTGCTCCCATGCCCCGCTGCTCCCCCGCTCTAACGCTCCCCTGTGCCCTGCCCACGCTCCCACTCCCCCTCCTCTCCGCTACCACTCCCCTTCCCCCACGCTTTCACTCCCCTTCCCCCACCCTTCCATTCCCCCTTCCTTGACCCTTCCACTCCCCGTACCCCACTGTTTCACTCCCCATCCCCCACTGTTTCACGCCCCAACCCCCACTGTTTCACTACCCAAC